CCGAGGACCCCAAACGGCAGGCCCTGGGCTCTGAACCCCAACTCTGCGCTTTGCTGAGAGTTGAGCTCAAAAGACCTTAACAAGAGAGAGGAGCGCAGACAGGTCTGGCGACAAAGCAAACTTAAAGTGACGGAAGGGTCACCGGGGTGTTTTTGGTGAGGCCTGCAGTAGCGACAGATACACTCAGTGGTCAGAAATCTCCCAGGTTTCAGTTCCCCCGATGTCCAAAAATAAATGGGAAAAAAAAAAACCAAAAAGACAGAAGTGAAGAACTTGTAAGTCAGGCATTTGTCCCAGCCTATTGTAATAAATGTTGTGTTTTATTATGACTTGAATCATACGTTATGACAGGCATCTATATGTACTGGAAAAGTCTAGTCTATATAGAGTTAGGTGCTAGCTGAACTTTCTACCTCCTCTGAGAGTTTAGCCATGTGTCCTGCGAGGACAAGGAGGGGACCTCTGCGCTGTTTTCATGGGGTTAAAGTGGAGGGAACCTTCTTATTTTGAGGGCTCAGGTTCTGATTGCTGGCTGAGAATCTCCAGTTTGGGTGCAGGGAGGAAATGGGCCTCTCAGTGTCATCTTGATTGTGTGGCCATTAGCAGTAGGGACTCCACTCTGGTTCGCCATGGGCTGTTGGACCCTATGCAAAACCAGAGGCTTCCCACGGCTGGATAATTCTCTCGGGGCTCAGTAGGCGTCACAGGAGTTGGGTAGCCTCCTTGCTTTTCACTGGCTGGATGCCAGGATCAAGCCCTCCCCAGATCTCTGCCGTCTGGATGTGCGTCCTGTTCACACCTTACTGCTCTGCAGCTTCTACTTTGCACGCCAAATCCATTTATTTTCGGCCTTTTTGTTTTTCCCTGCAGGGACTCCAGGCTGCTTCTCCTCTTCTCTTTGTATGCCTCTGCAGACCTGTGAGCCAAAATCACCCAACACCTCCAACGTGTTCCTATGTCCCTTCGTGGTCGATGGTCACTCGGCTACGTTTTCACAGCGGGGAGAGACACGGAATCAACACACAGCCTCCGGGAAGTGGTGAGAGAACTGGCTGGAGACCCACCTCAGGCCACCCTCCTCCAGTAGCTCGGTTTATTTTTAGAATGCACACAATTGTCATAGGGTTCGAGGGGGGGTGTGCCTGCCAGTCACACATAAACACCTTCACCTCTATAAGCCAGTCATCTTCTGCCTAATGTAACCGCACTATGAGGAAGCACTAAATATTGCTGCCGTGAGGGAAGGGTCTTTGTCCCTAAGGGAGGGGGGCTATGACTTGGGGGCGTTACATGCCCTGAAACATTTGACTCTTTGTTTTCCTGACCTGGTAGTCTGGTAGCTTGACAACGCTGACCACAAGTGCTGAGGATGTGGATTCACACGCGCTAGAGCAGAGTGACCCGTCCTATAGGTGTTCCTGTCAGGCCTGTACGATCGATCGATCGATCGATGGTAGGTTTTCCTAGCACTCTGAGCTGCTCCTAGCTAGTAGTTGTGAACTGAAAGTTTTTCCAACACTCCCAAGCCCTCTGCTCTTGGCAGATGACCTGGGCATCGGGGATGTTGGTTGCTATGGGAACCATACACCGGGGAACAGTGCGGTTTGGGTGGTGGGGTGGTGCTGTGTGTGTGTGTGTGTGCAGTTTAGGGGAATGATTTCACTTAAAATCGACCAGTGCAAATGAGATTTCTTAGTGCTCCGTAACTCGGCACCAAACACGATTCTTTTCCAAGAGTAAAAACAGGGTCTTAGACCCTCTCAAGGGCAGAGTTTGTGAGGGTTTTCCTGGGGCTGCTGTAATAAGAGACTTAAACAAAGAGACTTCAATCAAAAGCAATCCATGACCACCGCCCCCTCCCCCATCCCTGGAGGGCAGAGGGCTGAGACCAGGGGTCACAGGGCTGCAAGGATCCAGGAAGGTATCTTCCTGCCTCTCCCAGCTCCTGGGCTCCACATGACCCTTGGCTGGTGGCCCCATCACTTTAGTCTCTGCCTCCATCTCCACATGGCCTTCCCTCTGGGTCTGTGTCCCCTCCTCTGTCTCTTGGGAGGACACGGCCATGGCCTGAGGGCCCCCTGACCCAGGAGGAGCCCATCTCAGACCCTTCACTAACGACCTCTGCAGAGACCCTGTTCCCACACCAGGTCCCACTCCCAGGTTCTGGGGTCAAGGTGTGCACAGGACCTGCCTCTTACAATGGTGTCCAGCTCCCTCCACGGGCTCCAGGGAGGCTCCTCCTGCCTCTCTCAGCTCCTGGGGCTCCAGGTGGCCCTTAGCAGAACAATATGGTGACCCCTCAAAAGCTTAAGACTGAATCACAATATGACCCAGCAATGCCACTGCTCGGTTCAGACCCAAAGGATTTGAAAGCAGTGAGTCCAAAAGATACTCTCATGTTCTGTGTTCACAGAAACCCTGATCCCCGGTATGACTGAGGACTAGGGCAAAAATCATGTCTTAGTGGGGTGTGGGGGAGCCAGGGCCAAAATGGGGGCTTATGGAGGCCAGAGGGTCTTAGAAAGTGTGGGGAGTTTTCTTATTTTGCCTAAACTGTGTACATGATTTCATAAAGCCTTGTAAAAACTGTACTCTGTTTTAAGCCCTTTATTCTCAGGGTTAGCAAGTCACAAGAATTTTACCGCAAATCCATCGGCATGCATCTGTCTATATATCTATCCATCTGTCTATGTACCAGCCATCCCTCCTTCCACCCATCTGTCCATTTTCTCACACATGCATGACGTATTGCTCTATCTCCACACCCATCTACCCATTATCAATCCATCTATCCATCCATTCACCCATCCACCCATGTACCCATCCACCAATCTATACAGTCATCTACCCATCCACCCATCCATCCATTGACTCATCTATCCATCCACCCCTCCATCCACCCACCCGCCCATCCATTGACTCATCTATCCATCCACCCCTCCATCCACCCATCCACCTATCCAGTGACTCATCCATCCACCCATCCAACCATCTGTCCACCCATCCATCCACATCCATCCACGCATGCCTGCCCTCATCCACCAACCCATTCAGCCATCCATCCACTCATTAACATATCAGTGTGTCTGTCTGTCCATTTGTCCATCTATATACCTACACCTACATACACACTAAACATACCAGCCTTAGCTGTGGATTCCAGATGCAGCTGGGCCTGCAGGAAGTGAGACTGTCTGCAAAAAAGTGGGACTTTTTAGTTGTCAATGAACCTTTCTTTATTTACATGTGGTCCTGGGAATCTAACCCAGTGCCTCACCCATGCCCGTGGGTGCTAGACCCTCTCCACCAAGCCCTGGGCACACCCGGGTCCCATTCTGCTCCTGAGCCCCAAGCCAGGTGCAGTGCCTCCCCGAGCCCTGGGTCTTGGGGAGGAATTGCACTTCTCTCCCTTGCTCCCAGGGTACCTTCCATGTCACATGCTGTGGGAGCTCCATCCTCCAGGGAACTCCCAGCACAGCAGCTCTGTCCCAGCCCATTTAAAGATGAGGCCCTGAGCAGCTCAGGGAGACCCTGTCTCTAAATAAAATGCAAAATAGGGCTCTGGATGGGGCTCAGTGGTTGAGTGCCCTGAGTTCGATCCCTGGTTCCCCAGTGTTATGCTCAAATTTGGGACCCCCAAAAGACCACCAGAGACCAAGATCCAAGTAAGCAGCAAAGAGGTGTTTATTGCGAGCTAGCTGGGTCCTCTGCGTGCACACCGCAACTGGTGATGCCCAGGGTTTGCAGCAGTTTTATGCACTCTTTGGGGAAGGCAGGGACTTCACATGCATCATAGCATCTCTTAGCAAATCATCACACACCGCGGGAAAATCAAACAACAACTCTAAAACATGATTAGCAAATTCACTGGCGGGAACAATTGGGTAGGGGTGATTGGTGAGCTCAAGAGGGGGATTCCTTTGAACTGATTGGTTTAAGCCAAGAGGGGTGTTCCTGCTGAACTATGGGGTTTCCCAACACCATAAACTACTGGGGAGTCATCTGGCATCCCAGGTATTTCCCTGTCTCATGCTGATTGGTGGCTGCAGGGGGGTTGCTATGGGTCCCCACCCCGCCTGACTGAGTCAGGGACACCTGGCCCAGCAGATCTCTCCTGTTATTTACAGACAAACAACTCAGCAGGGTGGGAATGTGCCTGGGAGTGCTCTGTGGGTCTTTCCAAGGACAAAGGTCATGTCCCTTCCTTGGACAGGCTTTGCGCTGAGGTAGAGGTTTGTTTTTCACCCCACCCCTCCAAAAAAAAAAAAAAGCCCCCTGTTCCTGCTGATGGGCAGAGTCGTGGCCTCGGGGACGGTAGCTCCTGTGCCTCTCCTTTGCTAACAAAGCAATAAACTCTGCCCCCGCCCCCAAAGCTGTGTCCTCATTATTGGATGGGCACCGGGGACAAGGATGGACCTTTCAGTAACTCCTTAACCTCATGTTTCCACCCCCCACAGCTGTTATCTGTCAGGAAATTTTTGGTTTTGAGACATTTTGCCTAATTTTAGTAAAGATGCTGTGGCACCGCCTTCTCATGCTTGCTCAGGAGACCCAACTCAGGGCGTTCCACCACTGAGACACGATCCCCGTCGTGTTTTCTATTGTATTTACAGACAGGGCTTCTCAGGGCCTCACCATGGCTGAGGCTGATGTTGCACTCATGATCCTCCTGCCTCAGCCTCCCAAGCAGCTGGGATTACAGGCGTGCACCACCACAGCAGAGGAGACTGTGTTTATTGAGGAGACCTTGGGTCCTGGGAGCAGAGATGTCAGAGAACGTCAGAGAGTAAGTATGTTGGGAGCTAATGCAATAGAACATAAGCTCTCCATTATGATTTCCAGCCTATTTTAACGCACAATATCAATAATCATGTTGAAGTCAGGGGTAGTGGGTGCGCACCGATAACTCGAGTGACTCCGGAGGCTGAGGAAAGAGGACTGCAACTTGGGGGTCAGCCTCAGCAACTTTGCAAGGCCCTAAACAACTTAGAGTCTGTCTGAGGGTAAAATTATAACAGTTAAAATATGAATTTTCTTGATACATTTGCAGAATGGAAAACGTGGCACTTAATGGGTTCAGAACATGGAGCCTCTGTGGGGGACTTGGGCCTCAAAGTCAACAGAGTCAAGGGTGTGGCTGGGTCTGAAGAAGGAGACCCAGCCCAGAGGATGCTGAAGAACTCAGAGGTGTCAGGGTGGGCTGGTGACAGGGACACCGCTGGCCCAATGTGCTGGCTTTGTGTTCCACGCAGCATGGGTGATGGGGAGGAAGCAGGGTTAATAGTGATGGCCAGCTGCCATCTCTTTCCTTATCCCGAGATCCACTGGGCTGGAGCTGGCTTTGAGCATCAGGCAGAGGTGGAGTTGGCTTCGGGTGGTGGCCTGAGGTCATCCATGAGCACTCAGGGTCTGGGGGTCTCTAAGCCCCCGGGGCTGGGGTGTCTTGTTACAGCAGCCCAGGGAGACTAATACAGGGACCAGCAGCCCTCTGACCAGTGTGATGACCTGAGTGTGGGTGTCCCCCCAAAAGTTTTTATAGAAATCTTTACACCCCCTCCTCCCCCCGGTGATGCTGTTAGGAAGAAAGGGCTTTGGGGAGGACAGAGGGTCCTGAGGGTGGAGCTTTCCTTGCTACTGAGAGCCATAAGCAGAGACTTGACCTCTGGGCACATGCCATGTCTTATTGAATCAGGTTTGTCCCTCGGGGCTCCCCCTCGGCACCTGCAAATCTGTGCAATTTGGAAGCACCTTCCGTTTGCAGAGTGGCCTCCTCTGGGCTGGCCCGGGGTCCTCTGTCCCAGCCTCTGATTGCAGGAGGTGCTGGGCTCTTTGCTGGCAGCCCAGAGTGGCCCCTGAGGGTGCGTTTCATTCAGTGTGCATTGTGCATAGTGACCTCATGTTGATGTGCGGAGTCACTGGTGACCAGCCAACGGATGCCTGAGGTCAGCACGAGGAGCTGTATGGACCGGGCTCCGGCTCTTTCCACGTAGATGGTCACTGCCCTTGGTCCTCTGTGTCGCACCAGCACAGGGGGAAGGGGCCGCAGCAGGGCTGCAGCCACGGCCGCCACAGGTTGTTCAGGGTGCCCAGCTGCTGGCGAACTGTGCCCAGTGACCGCTGATGCTCCTCCACGGCCTGCCGGACCCTGCCCACCACTTGGTGGAACCGGGGCTCCGAGTCGGGCGTGAGGACATGAGACTCAGAGGGGTCTCTGGAGAGGTCAAAGAGCAAAGGCGGGTCGTGCTGGACCACTCCTTCCCCGATGCAGGGGCAGACCACCTTCCCGTAGCAGGCTCCAGCACCCTCTGGCTGGAAGATCGGCGTCATAAAGTGCACCTTCCACAGGGTTGCTCCTGGTGGAGGGGCAAGAATCAGAAAGATGACGTCAGGACAACAGCAGGAGTCACCCACGTGTCCATCAAGAGATGAATAGCACCAGGTGAGGGGGCGCAGGCCTGTGATCCCAGTGGCTCGGGAGGCTGAGGCAGAAGGATCGAGAGTTCAAAGCCAGCCTCAGCCAAAGCGAAGCCCTAAGCAACTAAGTGAGACCCTGTCTCTAAATAAATTACAAACTAGGGCTGGGGACATCGCCCAGGGGTTGAATGCCCCTGGGCTCTATCCATAGTTACCCCTCTCTCCCCAAAAAAGACCCGAATAGATATAATTTAATGCAGCCACTCTGTGGAATATCACACAGCCCTGAAAAAGAAGGAACCTCTGACATTGGCTAGACCATATGTGAACCTGGAAAACACTGTGCTCAGGAAAAGAAGGCTGATGCAGAGCCTGTGCAGGACTTTTTGTACGAAATGTGCAGAAATGAGCAAATCCACAGAAACAAACAATGGAGAGTCTGAGGAGGAGGAGTAAAGGCTAAGTAGGAGGGCTCCCTTTAGGGTGAGGAAAATGTTCAGGAACCAGATTGGGGTGGTGTTGTACTACACTGAATATATCAACTGCCCCTCATTGAACATTTGAAAAAATCCAGTTTTATGATGTGCTTTATTTCAATATATATATCTTTTTTAACTGAATTGCTGGCTTTCTTGATGCAAAAGAGTCGGACGTGACTGCATCGTGGTCCAGAAAGCAAATCCACAGTAGCAAAGAGACAGGAAGGCAAAGGGATAGAGAGGGAAAGACAAATGGGGGGGGGCAGAAAACAAGTATCGCTAAATGGGACCTGGATTGATATTATTATTATTATTGTTGTTGTTGTTCTTGTTATTATTATTATTTAGTCCTGGCAATTGAACCCAGGGGTGCCTTACCACTGAGCCACATCCCTAGCCCTTTCATTTTTTTTTTTTTTTTAATTTTAAGTCAGATTCTAACTAAGAGGCTGAGGCTAGCCTTTACCTTTCGGTCCTCCTGCCTCAGCCTCCTGAGTGGCTGGGATTATAGGGGTGCACCCCTGCACCTGGTCAAGCACTGGATCTTAAAAAAGAAGAATCAGTTCTGCTGCTGGCAAGTGGGTGAGGCAGAGAGGGTGAACATGGCCATGCGGTGGGGACAGTGAAAATGTGGTCAAGCGTCACTGAGTAAAAGTGACCTCAGGAGCAATCATGCACTGTCTAGAGCCACCAGGGTGCTGGGTGTCTGTGTCCGTAAGGGACCTCGTTGTACTCACGGTCCTGGTCCCGTTGTTGCCACCGGGCTGCGTGCAGAAACCTCTGGCAGTAATGGAGCAGGAACTCGTGGTCCGAGTGCTGAGCGGTCCCCAGGAGCAAGGGCAGCAGGTCCCGGCCATCAATCACTCTGCAGGGAGCACACGACACTCAGCACCAGGGGGCGCCAAGGGGCCCTGCTGAGCGGATCCCAGGAGAGGAGCAGAGTTGTGCAGGGGTGGAAGGGCTGGGGGGCCTGGGGGGGCCCAGAAGCCTGGGGACATGGCCTTGGATACAACGTAACCAGCTTGTGGGTTCGATTGGCATCACTTTTAGATACAGTGTAACCAGCTCGCTTGTCTCGATGGGTGGCACCTTTGGATACAATGTAACCCGCTCACCTGGTTGCATTTGGCGTCCCCCAACTTGCCTTGAAGGGGGAAAACAAAGCCAAGCACTGAGGACAGGCCTCTCTATTTTACAGGCTATCGACCTTGAGCCCCGTAGAACATGCCGTGTCCTTAAACAAGGCCGGGCAGCCCTGGCCTCTCTGGGATGGTCACAGGGAGTGGCATCTCCTTATCTGTCCGCCCTGTCTTCTGCTCTCTGCAAATACAGCTCATCCGACCGCGCCCGCCCTGTTCTGGTGGGAGGAGGTCGGCTTCCAGTATCGGGGTCCTTGTCTGCAGGCTTGTGCCACCAAAGGCTGCGTCTACCTCTTCTGATTGGCAGTCACAGCTTTGCACAGTGCACCTGCCCATCACTGTCCTCCAGGGGGGACAGAGCGCAGGACCTCCCCCCCTGGACCCCAGTCCTGCAATCGGAGGACACCTAGGACAGTCATTTAAATGGTCTCCTCTTTCCTAATAACCCATGACCACGCTCCTACATACTTTAAATCAAATGCAAATGCCTCAGAATGCTGAATACCGTGCGGATGCCGTCTAAATAGTTATTCAGGACAGATGCAATTCTACTTTTTTTTTTTTTTAATTTGGCTTCAGAGATGCAACACAGGGTGCTTAACCACGGAGCCACAACCACAGCCCTTTTATTTATTTGTTTATTTATTTATTTATTTTCGAGGCAGGGTCTCATTGATTTGCTAGAGCCTTGCTAAGTTGCTGAGGCTGGCCTCCAGTTTGTGATCCTCCTGCCTCAGCCTCCTGAGCCACTGGGATTACAGGCATGTACCACTGTGCCCAGCAATGACAGTACTTTAATAATAATAATAATAATAATAATAAGGTTAATGGGGTTGTTAAAAGAAAACATCACGAAGCCTTTAAAATTGTTGCCCACACAGTTTCCTAATAAATATGAGGAGTAGATTTCTAGTGTATATATCAGAATGTCTGAACGTAATTAAATGGTACAGCTTTGATTCATGTTTTCATATATATCATGAATGGATCCGAAATGTGAGCTGTATGAATACATGTGCCAGGTGTCTCTCGTGTATAAATTAGATTCCGCTGCAGTATATTAAAATTCATGGACCGTGTGATTCAATTGCATGAGATATATGCATAAATTCGGGTATGTAAATATACAGCTCTTGCAATTGGATGTGTCATGGGAGATATGCAAATACATGACAGGGTATATATTTGAGTATATAAATCTATCAATTGGACTATGTATACTGCATTGCACATAACACCGTGATTAAATTGCATGAGGTAGGTGCATATATTCAGATATAGCTGTGGATACACATATATACCTCCACACACACACACACACACACAGGGATATCTCATGCAATCGAATGTGCAACTTGAGATCTGCAAATCCATCTCCCCACACACGTATTTTCTGTCCACAAAGTGGAACTGCTTTCTTTGGTCCCTTCTCTACCTGTCCTGGGGCACCTGGCCGCCCCCCAGCTGGACCACGGTGGGGAACACGTCCATCAGGCTGGTGGGCTCCTGGATCACACGACCGGCAGGCAGCACCCCGGGCCACCGGAAGATCCCGGGAACACGGATGCCCCCTTCCCAGCCGCCCATGCCTTTGCCTCCTGTGAAGAGAAAATGATGTAGTATGAGATCAGCAGGCGCTGACCCAGGTAACTCCGAGTGGACGCAGGAGGGAGCTACCTCTGTCTGCTCAGGTGCGTTCAAATTGGCAGAAGGGGGAAGACAGAAGCAAAGGGTTTGGAAAGGGCCACGTCACGGACCCTCCAGGGGACACAGATGGAACATCGGCAGAGATGGAAACAGGATGCATTCAAGGTGGTAGGCACCTGGCATGGAACACAATGAGGCTGCCAGGTGCCCACCACCTTGAATGCATCCCTCCTGAAATCTGAACCCGGCACCCTTGGTGTGGACCATCCACTGGAGGACAGATCATTTCCATAAAAAGGAACCAAGCCCTGGCATATCGTGCAACAGGATCAACTTGGAAAACATGGTTCTTCAATCAAAGAAGCCCGACACCAAGGCCACACCACGGGGAACCTTCTACCTGGAGCAGGAAGAGATGGAGGGAGAGAAGAGGAGTTGGTGGTTGGGGAGGCGGGGCACCCACAGATCAAGGAATGACTGCTAAAAGCACAGGGATTTTTTTTTTTCCTAAGACAATGAAAATATTTTGAAATTCTACAGTGCTAATGGCTGCAGAGCTCTGTCAATATCCCCAAAACCACGTGTGCAAAAAGATTAAAAAATATAAAAAAACAATCTGAGCATGCAATTAGAGTCTCTATGGTGTTTTGGGCTGGAAAGAAATTCAAGTCCATATGCACCCGTGTTTGCAAATTTGGGGGGGTGGGCAGGTGGTGCCTTTTCAATGCCAGGGTTGGGAAGGGCTGGGGAGAGGCCATTGGCCAGCGCGGATTGGGGACCTCACCCTTGAGCCTCACCCTTATAGCCTCCATTCCAGCCTCCATATTGGTTGGTTCCCAGGCGAGACTCCAGGCATCCCCCGTGGTCCGAGGTGAAGTAGACGAGGGTCCGATCGGCCAGACCTTCCTGGTCTAACGTGTCAAGGATGTGTCCTGCAGAGGGCACAGCGCGGGGGCTGCTGGCGACAGAGTGGCGCCCAGAGCCAGCTCCTGGGTGTGCGGCCTCATGCATTTCTTGAAAAAGCTGCTCGTGTCCATGTCTAACGGGAGCCCGCGGGGGCATGATGGGGACAGCCTGGGCATTGGGGATCTGGGGCATTATCCCGGCTCCCAGTGGCACTGGCCCAGGGCCTCCCTGGGGCATGGTTTGGTCTACCTGCAGGACCAGGGCGTGGGCATCTCTCCCCGGGCCTTCTCCGTGGGGGGGGGGACACTCACCCACCATCCAATCCATCTCCTCCACGTTGTCCCCGTATAACCCGTGACGGCTCCTCCCCAGGAAGCCTTTGGTGGTGGCCAGAGGAACATGGACGTGCAGAAAGGAGACCAAGAGGAGGAAAGGCCCGTGCTTATTCCTAACAGTGAATGAGAGGCGAGGCGGGTTGTCCTTGCTATTGTGACAAAACCCATACCGAAGGCCAGGGGACCCCGAATACGGGTCTAGCCTGCCACCTGTCTTTGCTTTTGTCCCCACACAACGGCTCTTGGGCAGGAGGAGGATCTCATGTTTAAGAATCTTAAAGGGTAGGGCCTGGTGACGCACGCCTGTAACCACAGCAACTGGGGAGGTTGAGGCAGGAGGATTGCAAGAGGGAGGACAGCCTCAGCTACTTTGTGACGCCCTGAGCAATTCAGCAAGACCCTGTCTCAAAATAATCAATCAATCAATCAATCAGTAGAGCTGGGGGACTGGGGCTCAGTGGCAAAGGACCTCTGGGTTCAATCCCTAGTACAAAATAAAATAAAATAAATAAAATAAAATATAAAATAAAATAAAATAAAATAAATAAAATAAAATAATAATAAAATAAAATAAAATAAATAAAATAAATAAAATAAATAAAATAAAATAAAATAAAATAATAATAAAATAAAATAAATAAAATAAAATAATAATAAAATAAAATAAAATAAATAAAATAAATAAATAAATAAAATAAAATAAATAAAATAAAATAAAATAAAATAAATAAAAATAAAATAAATAAAATTAAATAAATAAAATTAAATAAATAAAATTAAATTAAAATAAAATAATAAA